GCTTTTTATGCCACCTAAGCTTTTTTTCTCTCTCTCTCTCTCTCCCTCTCTCTCTCTCTCTCTCTCATCATCTTTGTGGTACTAGAAATTGAACTCCACTCTGCACAGTTAATTGAATGTTCTACCAATGAGCTATTCATCAACTGTTAAATCTTATATTTTTTATACAAGACAAGGTTGGAAAACTCTAGGAACAGAAGTACCCAGGAGTTATCAGAAGAGGCAAGGACTCACGGCTGGGTTGTGTGCTAGCCCTGGAATAGCTTTGGCTCTCTCTGTCCTGATCCCTTGTGAGTGGTCATCCAGGGAGCTAGATGTCCAGCCATGGCTGCAAATGAAAGCTAGAGACTTCCTCATGAGAGAAATCTAGCGTCAAAGATGTTAAACCCCTCTGTCAGGTAAATGGAATTGGTCTATTGTCTTCTTGGGAAGATACGTCTCATTCACAGGGAAGGAAAAATCTCTCCTACCCTGTTTTTCTTCTCTCAGCTGATTAATACAAAGGCTCTGTAAGTCTCCTTCTATTATTTGGTAAATGGCAAAACAACAGTGCATGAATCCTACTGGTCTTTAGTGATAAACTTCTTGTTTCTCATTTTCCATCATGGTATGATATAAGTCTATGAAGACAGTTGAAATAAACAGCTATGTTCATTTCTACAAAGGCATTTCACGGTTGACATGTAGTAAGAGGAACTGTAGAACTTTCCTCAAAAAATCAGAAGGGGAAAAAGCAGTTGGTACAGTGAGCAGGAAGGAAGGCTAGTAAAATGATTTTATTGTCCTTATTGATTTATGCTGCTTATAAGGACACCCAGCACAGGGGAAGCTAGAGCTCAATCAAGATAGAAAATCATACTAGGTAATTATGAGTTTATACTCTTTCAATCAAAGTGCTAACACAAAGTGAAAAGCAATTCCTAGCAACACTTTTCTTGTTATCAAGGGGATTACCAAACTGGAAAATGTAATTCTTTACTGTCTAGAGCTTAAAATATAATTCATAGGGAGCTGGTCAGCTAAAATATAAACTGAACATCATATTTGTACAAGATCACAAAAATTGTGGAATTTGGAAGGCTTTGCAATGTAAATAAAGGAAATACTCAAACCATACAAAATAGATATAAATAGTATTTTAGCAGATGTGAAATTCAAATATAACTTTTATTATTTATTGGAATATGTCTTATAAGGTCTAAGAATTGTATTACAATACAGTATCACATATATGTAATATACTCAACAGATATAAAATACTAAGCAATTGTAGGGACTTACAAAGTGATTTAAAAAGTGGTCATTTCAGTTGCCTTTCAGAACACTATACCACACAAACAGTACTTTGACAGGATCACATTTTTTCAATTGCATTAAATTCTTTGTTTTGGGAGAAATGAAATGATGTAATAAATTGTGGATATACACAAAAATATCATTTTTCAAAAACCTGCATAAAAGGCAATGCATTTAGTATTATAACAGCAAGCAAAATGATGTCACTTAGAATTTTTTAATTCATTCTTTGAGAGGGTCATAAAATGTATTTTGATCATATTCCCCCCTCTCTCATCTCCTCTAGATACACCCCGCCTCTCCACTCACTGCCTTTCGTTTCCATCCAATCCAGTTTGTGTCTCAAATACTCTTGAGAGTGGTGTAAGCCCTGGAGTGTAGTTGACCAAGCAGGGGCCATACCCTTAAAGGAAACTGACTCTCCTCCCAGCAGCTACCACATGCCATAGATCCCTGGTTAGGGGATATACATATACATATGTATATGTATGAAACAGCTAGAACATCTTTCCACTCTGTATTTTCTTGGTGTTATATAAAACAAAAATTTACATTTTTTTAAAAAAAACTTCTTTGCTGCTAGCATTTTTAATGAAAATGAGTTTCACCCAATTAGAACAGCTCAGGACAGCTTCTGAAGGGCAATAGGTAACAAAGGTTAAATTCTGCTCCTGACTGTTCCTGGAGAGTAAGATCTTGAGAAGGAGAGACCCTGCTGAGCTGAGCACAGAGGCCCACACTCAAGGACGACAGGAAGCTTCTTGCTTCTGTCTCAGCTCCAGGAGTTGCTCAGAAATGAGAGTCCCCTGGGAACCAATTCTATAGGGCTCCTTGAGACCTTGATAAGTTTAGCCTACACTCTGTTTCCTCTGTCCTTCAGAGCTTTTGCAAGCCCTAAGGAAGTAATAAAAGTTGTTTTTAATCTAGAAATCTGACTGACAGGGATGGTTTTTCCCTTTCTAAGCTGGTTTTGCCCTTCCTAATAAGTATAAAAGGTTTAGTAGCCTGAAGTTAGGAGTCTACTGGTCCAAGTTCTAGGAAAACAGGGGAAAATGAACTGTACAATAATCACTTTTTGTTATATTTTATGTTATAGTTTATTTATATGAGTGATATATAGGAAACATCTATTTAGCTATCTGGATAAATATTACATATTTACATGATTATACATATATGATATATACATGTATATGATGTATGAATGTAGATGTATATGATATACGCATGTATATGATGGTTAAGACTTATGTACTGAGTAGCTAGTGGATGGGCTACAGAAGTGAATAGGAAATTATTGTTGTCTTAAATAATGAACACTAAACATGCATCAAAACAATTTGCAGAGCATGGTGGCATACGGCTATAATGTTAGCAAGTGGAGGTAGAGGCATGAGGCTTAAGAATTTAAGTTCATTCTTGGCTGTGTAGTGAATTCCCCAGGTGGAATGAGCTAAACACCCACAGCAACAACAACCAATTAAATTTACCTACACTTGATATAATCACTTTTGAGTTAATGACTCATGTCAAGTGTTTTATTACTTTCTAGGGATATACTGGCTTTAAGCCACAACTTCTGTTGAACTTTGAAATCTGGATACAGCTATAGAAAAAATTAGGTAAATGCATCATAATTCTTGTTGAAATTTGCCTCTAAGAACTTGGTTTATAAAAATGCCATCATTATTTGAACTTGTGGACATTTTGTTACTGAAGAGAACAATGGTGTCCTTGACATAAACGTCTATTAAAGTTTGAAATTCATTTCCAACTAACAGTAGCTATCGTTGCTAAAATAAGAAACTTCCACCCAGCAGAATAAACTCATTCCAAGGTGCCTTGCAAATGTCAGAGGTTCTGTCCTCTTGGGTGTGCGCTCAGTGTCATGTCCCTTACTCTAGATCGGGTTTGAGCAGATGAATTTGGGGTGTCCCAGGCTTTTCTCCGTTGTAACCTTTTCTACATAT